TATATATATATATAGGTAATTATTCAGGCCACAATAGTAAACCCTAAACCCTAAACCCAAAGCCCAAAGCCCTGAGCCCTAAGCCCTAAACCCTAAAACCCTAGGCCCCCAGACGCGCCCACTGCCCTGTCCTCGAGCCAGGCCTTCTGCTTCTCGCGGATGGGCTGAGCATCCTTCATTTAAGGTTTAGGGTTTAGGGTTTAGGGTTTAGGGTTTAGGGTTTAGGGTTTAGGAGTTTAGGAGTTTAGGAGTTTAGGGGTTTAGGGGTATAGGGTTTAGGGTTTAGGGCCGGCTCGAACCCGGGTCGTGGTTTGGGGTTTAGGCTTGCTAAGAGGCTGAAGGGGTCTTGTAAGAGTTCTATTCGGCTTTAGGAGCTTGTTTTTTTCGGACACCGGTATAGGGACATAGTATGACATGTAATATGTCTGACTTGGGCAACTCGAAGCATTTCCCTTAAGATTTCAAGCTGCCAACGACCTTACACCGGGCCTACATAGCACTATCGAGAGAGGGGACCTCTGAGTAGTGCGCGGTGGCACGGAAGCGCAGTATAACCTGGGTGCTGAGAACATCGCCAAGGCCACAGCTCCGGTAAAATGAAACTCACATCGAGAGAGAAAGTGATGGCTGTGAGCAGGGTCACAAGTCCCGAAAGTGGATTGCCATAAGTGGTTCTTGCAGTCGATACCTTGGAACTCCATTTATAAATAAGTAAGCAAACATGACCCTCTACTCAAGCAGGGCTTGAAGGGTTGAAACAGGCTTGTCTGCCGGCTGCAGTTCCCTAGGATCGAACTATGTCAGACAATATCTCTCGGGGTACCAGAGAGCTGCCGGTGCTTCACTCCCAGATTCTGAAAAAAAGAAACAGCAGGGATCATGGGTCCCAATGGGTTGGGTTTAGGGTTTAGGGTTTAGGGAGTTTAGGGTTCAGGGAAGATTGCTCTGTGGATGATGCAGACTATGCACCAGAGCTGCCACGCCTACCTGGAGTACGCGAGGTAGAGGCACTGCCAGAGTACTAATCTTACCCAAATCCCGTGCTCCCTAAACCGTCAGCCCTAAACCTCAACCCGCAAGCCCTGAACCTGAAAAAAACTGTGACCCGAACCCCTCCGCCGAAAAATCCTGTAACCCTAAACTGCAGACACCCGTCAAGGCCACCACGGTCCTTCGGATCTTTCACCAGGAACAAGAAGTTCCCGAAGGGGTCCTAACCAGAGAGGTTCCAGGGCGTCGGGTCTTCGGGCGTTAAGAGCTTTAGCTTTAGAGTTTGCGCTGTAGGTTTGTGCTTAGGGCATATTGAGGGCTTTGGGTTTAGGGCTTAGGGGGTTCAGGGTCGTTTGAGGTGTAGGTTTGGGGGGAATCCGGAGGCGAAACCCCAAAGGACCCCGCGTAAAAAGGCGGCAAAAGTCGGCTTTCTCATGCAGCGACACCCACTCAACCCCAACCTGCAACTGAAACACAGAATCCCCCAGGCCTAATCACCCGAAACCGTCTGAAGTAGGGTTGCGGTGCTGCGTTTTCTGATTGCTCTCAACAAGACACCCCAAATGTACTAACTAACATTGGCAAGGACGCTACTTCATGCTGAAGCTGTTCAGGAACACCTGTCCCCAAAATGGCCAGCCGATTAAGTCGCCTTTATGCTCAGGAACTCTTTGGAATACAGCACGAAACTCAATGGCCCTCCGTGCAAACGACCTCTACTCCCTGACAAAACCCCAGAACCAGTCACCCTTGGAGGATCCTTTAAACTAGGATAATAAGACCAGTTAAGAAACGAATGAAAACGATCGAAACCATGGCAAGTCCACATATCAAAACCCACTCTAAGCCCCATGGCCAAACTATGATAAACCTGCAGCGCAAAGGCGGTGTAGACACCTATAAATCCCCTCAACCCTAAACCCTAA